GCTCAGAGAATCCAAAAATGCAATAATATATAGTGTATTTCATTTAGAAAAACACAACTTTGATACTTTTAGGGCTTTTGGGACACTCTGTACATCACAAAAATATTTCTTAAATGTGCACCCGATAGGCGTCTGTGGATTCATCAAATAATACTTTGCAAAAAACAAACGGGCTAGCCGCAAACGTCAGTGCCGTATAGCGTGAATAATCCTGTATAATAGATACCCCTAAAGAATATTGTTACGTACAGTTCAGAAGTCTGGCCAATCAAAGAAAGAATAGAGAAAAGAGTCAGGAAGATCAAGGAGAGTTACAAGTCAGCGAATAGGAGATATTATGTCAGTAGGTGAACGCACGATTGTGGACGAGATAAGAACAAAACAACTGGTATGGCACGGGCATGTACAGAGAATGGAGAACGAAAAACTACCTTAACAAATACTAAAATTGAATCCAAATAGATGAAGAAAACGAGGAAGACCATGAAGCAGCTAGAGACAAGGAATAGACAACAAAATGGGATTAGGGGCCTGGATGACGAGTATTCATAAATAGAAATGTGAAAATATTTGTCAGCCGATTGAACCCAACGACTGTTGGGGAAAAGGACGTCAGTCGGACCATTCCAAATACCGCGCGTCATAGAGATATATGAGCGCCATCATACACTCTTGCATGGGCTCCCCTACTACATATCAAATATAGTACAAATCCAAAATCGTGAAAATTATTCAATCGGTTGAAAATAATTTTATTTCCCTTATTTTCATTACAAGTTCACAAGCCCAACTGACGTGTAATCCAACTTCTACGGGACAGCTGACTATTGTTTTTCAAATATTATCGGACGTCTTTAATTCATGAAAAAAAATCAGGTTGTCTGAAATGATTTTGTGAAAGAGTTTTCTCGACATGTTCTTCAGCATCCGACACTCGCTTCCACCGCTACTGGACCAGCTAACGACACTTTTCATCATTGGCTATATGGCATCTTCTCTTGTTATATAATAATAATTATTTTTTCCAGATATCCGCGCAAGAAAGTAGAAGAAAAAAGAAGGAATACATGGATCAGCTTGAAAGAAAAGTAGATATTTTAATGAGCGAAAATAACGACTTCAAGAGAACCATCGAAAACCTACATGAGTCTAACAGTGACTTGATGGCGCAGCTTCAAAAGTTACAAGCGATCGTTAAGAGGATACAACCGCACCAGCAAGGCTTGGCAAAATAAACGTTTGAGAAGGTCTTTGTAAGTCAAAAGTACAAAACTAAGTTTTCGCGTTAGAACCTTATATTAAACACATAGCCTAAGGTTGAAACGAATATTTCTATTTAATATTTGCCAATGTAATAATTAAATATAGTCTTCCTCTAAAGTACGTCTTGGTAATGATATTATATAAAACTAAGATTTTTCAAACATTCCAATATTAAACGAACCAAAGGAGAATGCATTTTTAAATCGCAATTTTATTTTAGTACTGCAATTGTAATCCAGCGTGTCGACACTATAAAGTCAACTTCATTATAAATACTCAAAATGTTTCAGATCGAATTATATGCAGGAATGTTTGTAACCATTTTAATTCAGTAAGTATATGTGAAAAAAAACATCGATGGCCTTTTATCGTATATTTCTACTACTAGGAATTACACAGGGTGATTCAAAATTGCCGTGATTCCTTTTAAGGGGTGATAGAGGAGAGTAAGAGGAAAATTGTTTTTTCGCAAATTTCTAAAACAAACAGTTGAAAATCGAATTTCAACTGTGTTATTAAGTATTATTTTGGTCCTATGTTTGACAGGTAGCTGATTGAAATACTTAAGCATTTAAAAAAAAATTACCATATTTACTTCGAATTACGAGAAATTTTCATATTCAAAAAGTACTATTCTACAATTTTTTGATAAAAGGTCAAAGCGGCAATGACCTTTTTTGTCATCAACAGGCATTTACAGGTAGATAGCCTTTGTCAATAATAACAATAATTTGTCGAACTGTGACTTACTTTGAAGCTCCTTTCACGAATTTGCGGATATGCGATCAGTTCTGGGGAAATGCCACAGTAACATAGCAGAAGCTGTAAAACCTCACGCCAACAAACGGCTAGAGACACTGGAGATTGGCTCCAGGAAGATACTGGACGACAATAGATGTTTGGGTTTCAGACAGAGATGCATTGGCGATAATAGCAGCTGAGCCTTCCAGGAGTCTTGCATTATGCTCTGCGTTACTGCACAACAACTAACACCACACGTATGCATGGTATGCACCAAATACCGAGAAAGGGCTACATTCCTGCATAGGCACACTAAATCTCTCGTTTAGTCAACATCGGTACAAATTGAGCAAGAGTTAATTATCCGAATATGAGAGATTGCTCAAATGTGAGCTCAGACTGCCGCCAAAAGTGTTCAATGGAGCACAAACATGTTTGGAATTAAACGGGCTGAACTTCAAACAGTTCATGTGATTTAACAACTTAATGGTATTTTATTTGTTGTTGTTGTATGTGGTGTTGACATCTATGCACATAACATCCCCCTATAATATGTTCTGTGCATCGATGGCCGATTCAGGTACATCACTCTTTTAAAGCAAAAATGTTGCCCGCACTGACAAGGTTATACTAACGTCGAAATTTTCAATCCCACTTTTCCTTTTGTTGTTTGTGTGTGTTTCAATGATTACTACAGTTTGAGATCATTCAGAAGTAACAGGTATTTACGTAATGTTAATGAGGCAGATTACGTTGAACTAGATTTTTGTCATCCTTCTTATCTAATTTTTCGCAAATATCTCAGTTATTAATAACAATAATTTTTCTTTGCCATTTTTCTTGTACTCCAAAACACACCCAGAAGAAAGGCGCCAATTTTGAATCACCCTGTATACGAATCCTATCGCTGATTGTATTTTTCTAAATGTTAATTATTTATGAATGCAAACAGACGTACATTAGGTTCGTTGAATTAAATAATTAAGTCCAATGGTGTTACTCTATATTTGTACTTAAAACTTAGATTTAGCTGGTAGGTGTGCCTTATTACAAATTTTGCCCATTTATCATACTAGGATAACAAAGAATGTATTTTTACACTTTTTATATGTGACTAAATCAAAAAGTAGTTTTCATTCTTAATAAAAGGTTAAGTTATGTTAAGTATTTAATTTTATTTATATTGATCATAGGTACGTGTTATGATGCAAAATTGGAATAACAAAATTCCATATTGAAAGCAACGGCGGTTATTAAGGCTTTCTTTAATTGATTTCATTTTTAAACATTCGAAAACTTGATTGACGGGAATGGCGCGGAAACTTTGGGTTATATTATACAGATGTAGGTCTGCTCGGTTTGGGAACATGTGTAAATTTTGTCGTTGAAACAAAGTTTTTTGCCTCTTCATTTTGCTGTTAATTACGGAAAAGGTTTACAAATAGTGCACAATTCCTGAGTATTAAAGTCCCATTGCATTAGAAGTGTGGCTGAAAACGTCTCAACAATATATTAGGCATTTCGGAAAATCGTATTTCTATTTGCATCTCGAGTAAACATTAAGTAAAGTATGTGTATAGTAGTTTACGCTGCTTAGGCACAAGTGCATCGTGTATTTCAGGGTTAACGGTTTTAAAGATTGTTTGATTTCAACGTGAATTTGCAAAATTACGCCTAAAATATTGGCAAAAGCTTAAGTAAGTACTGATTATTTCAAGTAATTGTAAGGATCTGAAAAAGATCCAATTTTTGCACATAACGTGATTGTAATCCAGCGTTTCTATTTCCAACTGTTTCTACTTTTTTTATTATACAAGTCTACTAAGTTTTATTTTTTGAAGCTGTGTTGAAATTACAATGGTCAGTAAATATTTTTATCGCGGTTTTTACGAAAAGTGTTTATGGAACTCGGAGTCAAGTGATCGAACTTTAAAGGGAAACACACTGATTTTTCAGCTAAAAACTGTAGTTTTTTTAAATTCAGGTTCGCGAGTTTATCGAACGATTAGGGCGATGCGAAACGTAATCATTCTCTCCATTGTTAACTGCAAAAAGCCTATGAGTGCATTGCTTATATCTTCCTGATATCCCATATTTTAACATTTGTTTTTAAGTCTAAAACAGTAGGTACCTACATTTTCCAATATATTTCTATTTGTTTAAAAGCTTGCAAAAGCGGATCAAAACTAAAAGAAACAAATCACAAGTACATATAATCAAAATAAGTGTCAAATGTTACTAGTTAAGCGTACTTATAATTTAGCCGCCAGCGGGCGTTTGAACTGGGTAACGGCCTATTATGCTGCCATATATTTCAGGGTTATCAATACAATAATTGATTATTTACCAGAACGAATGCTTTATGGATGTGGATATTCTCGAGTTCAAAAGGCCAAGCGCCCACTGGCGTCTAAATTTTAACTACGCTTAACTGCGTAAAATTTGACATTTATGTTGGTTAGATGTATTCGTAATTGAACTTGCGAATACGGCATCACCCTCAAAAATGGTTAGGTTTTCTTGGCTTATAAACATGCCTGCAAAATACAAGTCGTGAAAGTCGGTCTTAAAGGTTTATATTTAAACTTAATTGATTATGAAGAAATAAATAACATGTACATACGTAACACGTCTATAAGTACTTTTTTTTTCTTTTTACATCTTCATTTTAATAAAGTTAAATATTATTGCTGGTTTTAGCTAAATTATCCTAAAAGTTTTATATTGATTCACACTGCCTAGTGATGAACTTTGTATGCGTTGCAGATTTTAGGGAATCACTTAGTTGCTATTTGTACTTCATAACATGTATCTACAAAACATCTTATAAGTCCGTCTATCATCTTTTTTCATTAATAATCAGTTGAACGAAAATGAATTAAACGATTTTAATTTCTCCATTAAATTTGGTACGGTTAGTATTTTTCCAATAGATACGAATTTTTAACGATTTCATTTCAACTCTGATTTTTATTCGAAACAGACTGAATATCAATAAGTCAGAAGTGAAGCATAAATGTGCAATTATTTTATTATACTTCGGGTTTACACTGAAAGAGTATTTATTAAAAGTATGACATAACTTAGTAGTAAAATTATATAAGGATGCTATAGATAGCATAGCGAGAACGTTTATGAAACTATTTATATTTATAAACATCGGATACATTTTTTATATTAAAATTTTTGACAACCTTAAAATTTGTAAAAAATTTTTTATTGTATTGTATATAATGCATTTTACGATTCTTAAGATATGATCCTTTATACGCACTTTAAAAAGTGTTATTGTTAATTATAATAGAGGTAAAAAATTAATCAAATTTATTTAGTTCTAAGCGGTAGTCATGTAGAGTTGTAGTTTTTGTAACCAAAAATTATAGCAGAGTCGTGTGCCGACGTTTAACAATTATCGGTAAAATTGCGTCTGATAGTGTTAAAGTTTCACATCAGCGCTAACCTTGTTATAATACTAAATTATTTTCAATAGAGAAAAGCAATCAATGTGTCTTATAATCCAAACGCCGACTCTTCTATGAGTATTATTCAGGGGATTTACTCATATATCGTAACACGCTTTTACAAAAATGATTTAATAGTTTAAGCACTTAGAACATGTTTGTTTATAATTGTTTAGCAGTAAAATATCATATAATTTATATTATAAATATAATTCTTTTAATTCTCGATAACTAATGGTCTGCAGTTCCGATATCTTTCTATGCAGGAAAGTATGTGGGTGTACATTTAGCTTGTGTCCCAATGGCGATTTTCAAAAAGATTGATAATGTGGATAATGTTCTGCATCAAGCTATTTCTAGTTTTTGTTTGCTTTATTGCACAATGAATTAGACTTTTTAATTTTACTTTTGTGACTTGAATACAAATTAAACGAATTTGACTAATTTTTGTTTTTTCATTACCTACCCACTAATGACACTAAGCTATCAAACTTATACACAAATCAGGTATGGGCAACAATGGGCCCGCGGGCCGGATCCGGCCCGCTGTAAGATATGATCCGGCCCGCAAGACATTTTTGAAAAAACCCAATTTAAAAAAATATGACATTAGGTATATTATACTCACGGGAGTGACAGTGAGAGTAACAGCAACAAGACGGGAGTAACAGCAAACATCAAATCCAAAAACATTGATGTTTTTTCCTGTGATTTACTTCTTGTTTCCATCAAAAAACAATTCAAAGCTCCTTATTTTATGTTGCTTCCTTGGCACAGACCAACATCGCACTGCTTCTGTTTTCTTGGGATCAGTTTTTAGGAATAATGCGCACTTCTTTGGGGTTAACTTCAGGTTTGTAGCTCTTAATTTGTTGAATTCGCTCGATGTTCTTAAGCTGATCTTCGAAGGTTTTTCCAAGTATTATAACGTCATCCAGGTATACAAAACAAGTCTTCCAGGTTAATCCTTGTAATACGGTCTCCATTAGACGCTCAAAAGTTGCTGGAGCATTGCAGAGCCCGAAAGGCATTACATTAAACTGCCAAAGTCCAGTTCCAGTTAAAAGTTCTGCTTCTAAGCTGAGTTTTGTAGACTTCTTTCAAGTGTATGTCACCATACCTTGTTTGAATAGATTGAATAGACCTGATAGTTCTTACGGCCATCTTGTGGTATTGATCGTAAAATTTCCTTTGCTTCGCCTCGTAGGGAAATAATAAGTGCTGTTGCCTTCTCCTGATCATTCCACCCGTTAACTACTGCAGCGTCTTCAAATTGGCATAAATATGTGGACCATGCGACTTTTCGATCGAATGTTGGCGGCTTAAGTTTACTGCAGCTTCAAGATTGCGCCTCAATTTTTATTGTATCAGATACTGCATTGTACCTGGTTACTTCTTGTCTAATTTTGATTATTTCTTCTTCCACATGTACGTTAAGTCGGCAGATAGTTTCTTCAACTTTGTCTTAAAACTTGATGTCGTTCTGAAACTTCGTACTGTCTTCTTTCAGAATCTGCTGGAACTTAGCACTGTCTTCCTCAATGTTCTTTAGTTTGTCTTCAACGGTTCTCTTCAGGTCTTCAAATTTCTCAGCGTTGTGGTCCATTTTATCTCTCATTTTGTTCATCATTTTCTTACTGTCGGCCAATTCATCCAGCATCTCTTTGTTGTTGTCCTTCATTTTGTCCATTTTTTCGTCCATTTTCCTACTGTTGTCTTCCATTTTATCCATTTCGTCGCTCATTTCGTCTTTCATCTGCATGAGCAGTGCAATCAAACTTGGGTTCTCCATGGCAGGGTCTTCCTTCGTTGATTTACTTCTTGTATCCATCAAAATTTAACTTGGATCCTGGTAAATCCCACTTCTGACACCAAATGTACCGTGGATGGCCGGGTATCAAATTATTTCTTCAGCTTCCAACTTTTATTAACTCGGTATAACTTTAAATACGGAACAGGAACAAACTAACTTAAAAATTATCGTGAACTTCACAACAATAACAATAACAGACGGAAAGCTCGCCCTTCTGACTCGCAGGGTTTAACCTCTTCTGCACCCGGTCGTTGCTGTCACTTCACTGACTCCTTTTTTTTTGTTTTGCTTCCGGTGGCAAGGGGGATAAAAAAAATCTTCTCGAAAGACACCTGTGCTTCTCGATGCACAGTCCGATGGCGGACTGACTCCCTGTGGTTCTCGTCGCCGCTTATATAGTTTCCTCCAGGTAACCCAGACGGTTCTCGAAATCTCCAGCTTGCCAGGTGCGAAATTTCCCGTTTGTCAGTATCATATTTGACAGTAAATGGGGCTCCCATTTACTGAAATCCCATAAATTTCGATCCCCCAATTCCAAACGTGAGTACCCCAGGCCGTTTCCGTTACAAGATGGATCAGCTCATTTTGTTGCAATAATTTGTATTATTCACTTTTAAATGAGATTTTTTTTGTTGCAAACCTTTTATAAGAACTTTCTTTAGTTTTTAATATTAATGTAATGTTATATCATTTAAGTAACAAGGTTTTCATATTAGTCGATTATTAAGTATAAGTACCTGCAGATACTATACAATACGGTTCGCCTAGATTTTTCAATTATTTTCGCTCAAAACAAAATAAGTATAAGCATATTTTAATATTGACTTAAATCCGGAAACAGTGTAATTTTTTCAATGGTATAAATTAAAAAATCGAATACCTGATACCTC